CGCGCATGAAACATGCAAACACAGACTATATGATGGATCGCGGTCACAAATCGTTAATTGGTCACATTTGCTGCAACGCGTATCTCAATAGTCTTTCTCACGAGCAAAATAAGTTCATGGGTAGACACTTGTAATTCCATGCCATGCAATTCGAATTTTTTTGATCGTTCCGTTGTCTTTGTAAATATATTAGAGGGTTAAACAAAATTGATATTAATTCTATTATTTTACATTAATTCCGATTATAACATCGTAAAACCATCCTAAATTTTCTATTAATTAAAATTATTACGATAATAAGACAGCCATCCCAACAGAAATCAAAATGCCTTCGCGTTTTGGAATCACGTGCACAGACAATTATCACCTGTCAAGAAAATATTCAAATAAATTCTGCCTCTGGTATGAGCGCTATTACTGTGTATGTATATATGCAAAATCGGCGTATAATCATTCATCTCCCGCAATACAGATATGAACACATACACGCACACTGGTTAAAAATCAGTACCGTAGTTGTTAAAATATGGTTGCATTTTTTCGAGACACCGGGATACATCCATTCCATCGCGGGAGTTGACTCGAAGTATTGTTGGGCTGTAAAAATGATAATAATAAGACCACGTCAAGTCAAAACAAAAATTTAAGTGATTACCATACCAACATGCTTGTGTTGTACCTCAGTTGGGGACCTGTCTCAGTTCTGACTGAGTGACTGGGTTCCGAACTGAGACAGGTCCAACTGAGGTACAACACTTGTATGATGAATCTAATGACATTGAAATACAAGACGCTTTGAAAAACGCGTTGAGTTATACATGAAACTATGCTATAATGCATAGGCCACGAGATAATCTACATATATTAATCCGAATTCCCCGTTAATCCGAACTATTTTTTTTACATATTTGACACTATATTTTATTTGTTATGCATTGTTTCATTAAAATCTACTGCAAAATCAAGTTTAGTTTTTCATGAGCAATGACAGAACTTAGATAAATGCACACATGTAAATGTCAATCAATACCATTTGACTTTCCTGTTCTAATCTATTGCAAACATATAACATTACCATAATGTAATGGGTTTCACTATTTTATAATATGCTGTTCTCAAAGCCTTAGTGAGAAAATAAGCAACACAATATTACAAAGGTACTAGAAGCAAATGCATCAATGCACTATTACTATGGAGGGTAATTATACAGGTTTGGAAGTACTGACATACAGTTGGTCATTCTAATACTAATACTAAATTTTGGTTAAGAAGTATATATATACCCCAGAAGATCCAAAATAAACAGTATGCAATAATAGTATAGTTCCCCGTTCTGTTTGTTTTTGCATTGCAGCTCATAAGACCAGTCAAATCTATTTTAAACTGTCTATTAAATCAAAAGCTAGTAAATTGTTTCAACTCTTTCAACAGTTATATCTAATTGTTATATTATCTCAAGAAAAAGGATGTAATGATAATTAGCTCAAACAACAAATTAACTGGTGTATTATTTGGAGAATCAGCAGCACAAAATAGAGAGATGATATAGCAGAATTGCACCAGGTTGCAGTATCATGTACTGTACTTTCACATAAAAACTTCCCGTTTTGGTAGCTTCGAATTTAGCTTCAAAGTGTTCATTGACCTGTGCTTTGGGGTTAGTTTGTCCTAAGCGATAATAGCATGTAACTATATCCAACACTGGAAAAGTTGATACGTATCAACATTTACACTGGTTATCCATATTGACACAGAGAATGCTTTGCATACCAGCCTGCAATGAGGAGAAGGGCGGTTAATCTGGAGTCCTATTATTATCAATTGGAAACGATCTTCCGTTAAAAAAAAGACTCGGCGGAAAGAACCGAGATTAAACCTTTATGAGCCGAATAAAGTTCTCGCCAACAAACTCTTTATTTTGTTATTAATAGTAATCAGCCCGTCTTATGCATCTCGGAACGAACAAGCCGGTTAGTGACTGCGTTGTCATTCAATTCGGGGGAATTTCGGACCCTCGCGCCGCCGTCGATTGTTTCGTTGACGTATTTGCGCGAGTATGAAAGGATAATACGCCTATTGCAAATCAATTAGCGAGTATCCTGTCAAATAGCCAATAGAGCGCAGATTGAGACTAGAAAGGAAAAATTTATAATTAACAGTTATTATTAGATTTAGATCGAGTGGGAAAGTTCTATCGGAATGCGTGACCTGAAAATCATGAGATTATTTATGATTGTACGTTAACCAATTATATGCAAATGTGTAAATGTGTTCAACTCTCCAAGACTGCTAGCAAAGAACATGGGCCAGAGAACAGCAATAACCATCTCAATTGTAGCGAGCTTTGAGCGGTTTGTCTTGCGTGCCCAAGTTTGATAAATAGACGAAATTAAGAGAAAGGCAATGACAAACTCACAGTCACTTTCATAAGACGGTGTGATTCGGCGTCCGGTTGACTAGAGTATACGCGCGAATAGGCGAGTAATGGCACGCATATTAGTAACGATATTACTAGCAAGTAAGATTATGTACATACAAGATATACAGTATATGTCTATATGTATATGCAATGACTGTAGGTATGCATGACAGAGCATAACGTATTGTGCGAGCATAACCTTATTATTCAAAATCGTATAACGTATATACCATATATTTTACATTATTATCATTCAGATCTGTTTATATGCGTATTGCTAGTTAATGAGAGGATTGCGTTCACACGTTACTGCTACATCAGTCGTCCCAGAATGGCCAACAATCATCAAGCTGTTTCCTCATCGCGCATTACTATTGTAAGTACACTCAGAAAACATCGTATCATTTCTATTTCACTCTCGATTCTACATAACATTATTTACGAATTGCATATGCGTGCATATATTGTGGCTGAGAGGAAGAGATTCTAAAAGACAATTTATACTTATGACTTTAAACTGTTTAATAGATCTAATCCTCCTGGACAATGACTCATCAATGTTCACTCGAGCTTGCCAACCAATAATCTACGTGGGGTATCTATGTGGGTATCTACGTGGGGTATCTATGTGGGTATCTACGTGGGTATCTACGTGGGTATCTACGTGAATACGATATCTCCATGATCAATGGCAACCTTATTGAATAACGACAATATACATAATCTAAAGAATCTTAAACAACAAAGACAAAGCCCAACAGAGTATCCAACACTTTGCACCATCAAGACGATGCCAATTAACAAGCTCGGTACGCCATGTGCAAACAGTCATGGAAATCATTGTCGATACAATGTTCTCCAGTTAGAAGGGATTGTTCTATGAAATTGGTTTGGTTTAGTTTGGTTTGGGCGCCCGCCCCTGCATTGAGTTACGCGATGAATGGTCGATAAAACTTGTAGGAAGCAGACAATCTAGGGACCTCAGCAGAGTCGACGGTGCTGATGAGTGATGAACACATTTCTGGCTTTGATGCTGCCGTTTCAACGTATCGATTGTTCGACGATTATCCATTGCGATTGATCCTAACACGATTGTGTTTTATATGGCGACGAAATATCATCCATAACTACTATATCTTCAATATCAGTTATCGTGTAGTTCTCAATTAAACACGTGATACGTACCAGAAATTCAAGTATCACAAATTATGGGATGCGTGTGGCGGATTGTTGTTATGCATTTGTGTTCGTGCAATTACAGTCAGCAGAAATACACAGCTTGGCCTTCGAAAACATTATATTATATATAATGTATGGTTTTGAGTCCAATCATAATTCGATTCAAATAATAATGAAGGGCACGTGCACAAATTTTTGCAATGTAAGTTTGTAATCTTATATGCTATTTGCACGTTTTTTCTTTGTTCTCGTCCTTCGATCTATTTGCGTTTGTTCAGCAACGTGCGCCAATAGATGATTTCGTTGGGTGTGAGAAAAAAAGGCACTCCCGTTTGATACATTTAGGAGACATTATTTATGATTGTTTAATTCCCACGAACAGTCCCAATACTTTGGCAACCAACAAAGATCGACATGAAATGAAAAAGGGGATCTCTTAATATCAGGGTCATCTATTTTACAAAAAGCAGCCTTTATGAAATAGAGAATGTTTAGAACATTGGCACGAGTCAATGGAACGAGAACAGGTTTTGTTCAATTATTTCTTTTCCATGCATCTTTTTAGGGGGGAAGCGGAGAAGTCGAACTGAGTTTCACATACGAGTTGAAGGCATACATGAAAAAGGCGCAGATCATCAATACATTTAAACACAATTTATATTGTATTGCGAAATCAATCTTCGGTTGCACGTTATTACTATGGTTTACGCCATTTCATTTGTGCCGTTTCTTGTTCAATTACTTTTCATGTTTGCACTGTCTATGCTGTTGACGTTGCCACTTTGTATCGTGATTGGAGACAACAATATTACATTTCATATTCGATATTGCTGCGCATCCGCGTCTCACGCCCCAAAATCGCGTCTTTTCCTACCAATCCCCATCGCCCCCTCGCATGTATTCATATGTACCAATGTGTGAATGCAATGCGACTGTCTTATGCCTCAAAGACGTTTACGGCAGTCTTACACATATAATCCTGTTGTGTTGTACAATTGTGCAAATTTAAAACGGGAGAAGGAAAAAAAAAGAAAAAAAAAAAAGAAAAGAAAAAGTTTTTTTTTCCCTCCTTTTGTAAATGAGAAGGTTGGGAAGTTTAGAATGGATTCACAGTCTCTGTTGTATAATCGTTGTTGATTGCCTAATTATACGTTCATAACAGACATGCATAAAGTCTTGTATATTAATATTTTACAATTAGGACAATGAACAAATGAACATTTATCCGTTAATGGATGGCACAATGGAAGAAAGTTGGGTATATTATCCGTTATTGATTATTAAGATATTCCCATATTTGACAAATGATGATTGTAATAGTAATAGTAATAGTAATAGTAATAGTAAGCTGTATATGAAACAATAATAACAATCCATCTGATCTACCATTTCTTAGTTTATACTTCAAGTCATATGATCATTGCGCCCCATTCCCCAAATTATTTCAATTGTCTTTTTTTATTCTATATACTCGTTTTCATTATTCTTTCCCCCCCTTTTTTTTTCCTCTTTCCCCTTACCCACAATGGGCAATAGGCGTTAGCAAGTTTTTTGGCCATACTTGCCATAAATGCCATCACAATAATACATCCTACCAATTACACAAACCAACTCGTTGAGTAACAGAATGACAAAGCTCATACTTTTTATGTACATATTTTAAGTTATTTATATTATTACTTTTACTGTTACATTGTGCATCTGTCATTCGCCATATTCCCCATTTGTGATCTGATGCATGTAAATGTATGAGAAAGATAAGATTATCATATCTAAACATGCATAATACCATCCATCAAGATAAAGAATCTACTGGATATATCAAATTGTGAGAAAAGAGCGGTAGGTGAAGGAAGATGTCGGATTTTGTTATAGTTCTGTAGTTTTAACAGATGCATTGTTACATGTTTGGGTGAGCAATTAATTGCTGTGCTGACTACATATTATAAAAAGTAGTATATATTAATGAAATATTATTAAATAATTTTATATGTTCTATGTAACAGCCATATATTCCCTTTTGCTAACCATTTGTTCTACCAGATGTTAAATACTTGGCCATATAATATATTGCAACGTATTGTAAACCGGATAATATTTTCTCATAGACTGCATATACAGTACATCTAAACCTACTTATGTTATTCCGCATTACAGTGGAGAGGAAGAAGGGGGGGGGTCTGGAACACTCGATAAAACAAATGTTTGCTCTACTAAACACTACACCATTCACTAGAGCGTATTCACTGCGTGATTGTACACCAATAGAAATCCGCAAGGAAATGTAGCGGACCACATTACATTTGTTGATTTCTGGAATTGGCACTACATTAACAATTAGTATTTGCATTAGGAATTACTACTACTCAACGGTCTCATTCGTATGGCATAAATTAATAATCTGATGGAAAGACAGTCGAGAAAAGTCAGCCTAGCCTATTAAAAAACCACATGTAAATATCTGATTTATTATATCAAAACAAAGCATTCTAATATCTCTTTCATCTTCATCATCATCTACTTGGCTAGTCGTTTAGATCTCCGGGATGAGTGTTGTGCTTGGACGGAATTGACGAATAAGTATTATCAGCAGATTAGATCTAATGACGAAAATGATGTGACAATTTATTGTTACGGTAGTTACGGAATTAGGTAAAATTCAATGGTAATAGAAACCTAAATGGTAAGTTTTATTGTAAAAGGTAGAACGAAAGAATGTTAACGGAAACTTGTCCGAATAGAGAGGCTGAGTGTGTGAGAATGAATGAGTGACATGAATGAGTGGAAAGGAGTGAGTCGAGAACAAAACAATATGTAGTTGTTGAAAGACTCCATGCATTTAGAATGGGTTAATTGGTCAGATGCGAGTCGAATGCAAGGCCACTTCATAAGTTTTAGGATAATACATATGCATTACATGCATGATTGCAGATAATAAGGGATAAAAAAATTTTCTGTGCGTAAATATGCAATGTATATAAATTATAACAGAGTTAATATGTTAGTTTAATTAAAATATACAACTTTTCTTCTTCCTTCTTTTCACTTTTTCTTCCTTCTCCCCCCTTTTTTTCCTCTCGTCCTCCTTTCCGGAAACGATTTAATCCGCCATCTTACCTTCATTGACACCTCATTCTCTTGCCCCAAATTAATCACCTTGTCCTCAGTAACACAATGTCCTTACGCCATTGCAAAGGCTGTGGTACAATTAAGTACAGGCGGGCAACGGAAGGGGAAAGCGATGTAATTATGAGAGGGCGAAGCAGGGCAGAATAGGGCGGGGCAGGGCAGATTGAATTATTTGATCTTGTTTTGTGTATACCTTGCGTATTCATGTTGCATCATTGTGATCATTTTCTTTTGTATTACTGATCAGAATGCAGATTTGTTGTCTTCGGATTTTGCCGTTTTTATTTGTCCCTCGGTGTGCGATGTGGTCCAAGTCACTGTCATATAATTAAAATGGTATAAATATAGCAAAGTAGGTTTTTAG